GTGGGATTCCATAAAATTAATGGGAGAAAGAAATTTCAAATTGAATGATTTGAATTCATCAATGGTGACCGTCAGAAACTATGCCCATCACATCAACAAAGATGTCGGCATTTAAACAATGATCATTTGTGAAAATTTCAAATGGTTTTCCTATATCAATGGTAGCCAATCACTGAAGTTATTTCCTTCTTCGACGAAATCTCATTTTAGATCCGGGTTTCTGGCAGCTCTTTGATACTAACCACAAAATCTAGATGGAATTCAATTATCTTTTGGCATCTATTTTTCAATTCTTGACAAGGATTTCATCTTTAGCATGAGAGTTGAGAAGGTCGTTGTCCTGCGTTGGCGAACTACCTTACCGGAATCCAAAGAGAGAAAATAGAAGGGAGAGAATGCATTTTGGGAGAAGACGACGAGGAGTAGAATGGGAAAAAACAATCTTATTCAGCTTAATTCCATGGGGATGATGGGTTAGTTTTTATTGAAGAATGACGGGCTTGGATAAAACATGAGACACAGTGTATCCCATCCTCTGAACATCCCAGACGTGGGATACATTGGGACAAGATAAAATTTATGTTCTATCCCATGTTCTATCCGCCCCTCCAAACGTGCTCTAAAAGACTTTTAACTTTTGTGTGACCTTTAACATATCGTAGCGTTGCAGTACCTGAGGCCCTCCTAAAGGACACGGCAGGACTGAAAGCTCCGGCTACCCATTTAAGGTATTGGGATTGGAATTTTCTATGATTAATTGCAATAAATGGACTCTGTAACTCTGCAATTTCTGCAGATGAATACATTATAAATTCCCCATTCACCAACTTGTGAAGACACATGGTAAATGCTCTGGCTTTCTGTCTTTGGGTTCTAGTCTCGGCAATGCCTTTCATTTCAACCTTCTCTCCCCAAACCCCGTTCTAGTTTTTACTGAAAGCTTTCGTTTTCTGCGCAAAAGTTTAATCCGTGTTCATGGTTACCAGCTTAGAAGCTTTGGTTTTTGTTTTCTTGTAGAAATTGAGAGTTTCGTTGAGCAAGAGCATCCAAAGCAGAAAAATTAAACCTGAAGTTCTAACTTTATTTGGAAGTCACATGCACATATACTGATAAATGAACTACCTTCATTATTTTTAATTTTCATTCAGATGTGTTGTAACATAGAAAATGGTAAAATAATATATGAATCCTAATTTTCATTCATTGGAACTCGGGGTTACGTTGGATGAATCTTAAGGCTTGAAACTATATAGGAAAGGACATGGAGGAGCAGGAACCAGGACAGCACCTCCAAGGCATCGCAGTGACCATGCGTATGTTAGGCCCCCGTAATGGCTCAACCTGCCCCTACAAGTTTCTAAAATAAATTTGGCTTCATTCCACCGCTGTGGTCTTCTAGTGACACCATGTTGGTGTAGAACAGCCTTCCATACCATTCTGCTAAAGGGACACGCAAAAAACAATGCAAATGTGGCTCCTCCTCATACTCACTCTAGGTCTTTGCATTGGAATTTTTTGTGATTAACCGCGGTAAATGTTCTCTCTCGCTTTGCAATTTCTGCAAATGAATAAAACATAAATTATCCATCCACAAACTCACGAAAACACATGCTAAAGGGCTCTAGTCGAGTGGCTTCCCCCTTCATGTTCTTGGGATTCTCCTGGCAATGCCCTTCATCTCCCTTCCCCCAATCCCATTTTGGTTTTACTACTACTCACAGATTTTCTTTTCTTCATAAATAAGGCCAATATTAATTTGCTTTCTTGTAGGAATTGAGGGTTTTTGTTGATGTGGTTGGTGGTATTTTGCAGACAAGAGAACGAGAAATCGAGATGAAGAGTGGCTCCCTGCTAGAGCTCAGGTTTTAGTTTTTTCTATCTTGTATTTCATTCATCACATATATGTATTTTAAAGATTACAAATCGAAGGCAATCCAGTGCCAACAGTAGAACATTGAGTGTTGTCTGTTCTAACAACTCCACCAAATCCATTAAACACCATACATGAATGATATACAAAATATCTGAAGACAGGGTTCCTGGAAAAATACAACCAAACACTAACTTAAGAGTTATATTGCAAATACCATTCCACCTTTGAGCATTAACAGTTTTGCTGAGCAAGAGCATGAAAAGCTGAAAAAGCCAGAAGTGCTACCTTTATTTGGAAGTTACATGTAGGTATATATTGATAATAGAACTACCTTTATTATTTATAATTTCCATTCATGGAAACTCGGGGTTTATGATGGATGAATCTTTAGGCTTGAAGCTATAAAGGAAAGGACATGGCGGTGCAGGGACCAAGAGAGCACCTTCAAGCATCATGGTAACCGTTCTCATTTTAGGCCATTGTGATGGCTCATCTTGCACACACCACATTGCCACCTTCACCAGCATCTCCACCCTCCCCATGTCATTTATTTCTTCTTCATCATTTTCCACCAACTTTCCCAGATTCCCTTCGCTGTAGCAATCGTATGCCCATTCTGTCAAGATTGCTGCCTCATCCATCTCAAGCTCAACACATCTTCTGCAACAAAAGATCTCCAGCAACATAACTCCGAAGCTATACACATCTACCTTCACCGTGATAGGGGTACTCCTGAACCACTCCGGCGCCACATACCCTTTCGTCCCCCTGATGCCTGTCAGCGTATGGCTCTTGCTGTTAATCAAAAGTTTTGCCAATCCAAAATCTGAGATTTTTGCAGTGAAAGAGTCATCCAGGAGAATGTTCTGAGGCTTTATGTCACAGTGAATGATCTGAGTGCTGCATTCTTCATGCAGATATGTTAGTCCTCTGGCAATTTCGAATGCAATCTGCAATCTCTGTTTCCAGCTAGGCCTCAGAACCCCAAATAGGAAGCTAGCCAGAGATCCATTCTGCATCAACTCATACACAAGAAGCCGGTTCTCATCCTCATTACAGTATCCAAACAATCTCACCAGGTTCCGGTGGTGAGTATGTCCAATCACATTCACTTCCGTTTTGAACTCTTTCTCCCATTCCCGAATAACCTTTTCTAGTTTCTTCACGGCAACATAATTCCTGTACAGTTCTCCTTTATATAAACAGTTCCAAAGGCACCCTTTCCCAGTTCTTCCTTGAATCCTTTTGTGGCATCTTCAAGTTCTTTGTATGTGAAGCAAAGCAGATTTGTCTCAATCTCTCCTTTACTATGGATTCTGTTGAGATCCTTAAGCTTTCTTTGGTAGAAATAGAACAGAAACAGGGAAATCACAGCCAAAGTAAAAAATGTTGAAAGATACAGATGTGCCTTTCAAGTTAAGATATTTATGGGTTTGGGGTACCCCTTGTGCTCCGTTTTTAATAACTATTACTTTTTGCTGTTCAAAAAAAAAAAAAAAAAAAAACTGATGTGCCTTGTTAGAAACCGAAAAGAAGAAGAATAATTTGAAGAAAGGTTTATTGCTTTCTTGAATAATACTGTTTGTATAATGACCTATATATAGATATTTACAAAGAGAATATTTTAAGACATAAAATATATAAAGAGAATATTTCAAGGCATAAAATATTTACAATAAGTGCATTCACATCTTAACATCCCCTCAAACTTAAGGTGGTTGCGATAAAATCAACTTGAGTTTGGAAAAAGGAGTGCGAAAGTGTCTGGAAAAATGAGCCTTGGTGAAAAGATCTGCTTGTTAATTAGTGGAGCCACTGAAAACCAAATGAATAGTTCCTTGTGCAACATAGTGGCGAGCAAAGTGACAATCAACCTTAATGTATTTAGTGCGTTTATGAAAAACATCATTATGAGTTATCTATATGGTACTCTAATTGTCACAATACAGATTAGTAGCAAGCGGTTGAGGAACACCCATATCTTCCAGTAGCCAATGTAAGTTAAGTAACTCTGATGTGGTGCCTCCAAGTGCTCGATATTTGGCCTCTATGCTAGAACATGATGGAACTGTCTGCTTCTTGTTACGCCAAAAGATTAAGGTGTCACCAAGAAAGAAACAATATCCAGTGGTGGATTTACGATCATTAGAGTCTCCAGCCTAATCACCGTCTGAGTAAGCACAAAGTTCAAGAGATGAGTGAGTAGAAAAGTGAAATCCATGAAACAATGTTTCCTTAACATAGTGAATAATGCAAAGTATTGCTGCATAATGAGTGGAGCGAGGAGCAGCCATAAGCTGAGTAACAATGTGAACTGCATATGCTATGTCAGGGCGTGTTGTGGTAAGATAAACCAGACTACCAACCAATTGCCGATAGTGAGTAAGATCAGAAAATGGAGAGCCATCCATAGGTGTAAGCTTGACATTAGACTTAAGAGGTGTAGAAACACTTTTGCTATCACTAAGTTTAGCTTTAGAAACAAGATCAGAGGCATACTTTACTTGAGAAAGTAGGTAGCCATCATCTGAAGATGTGACTTCAAGTCTTAAAAAATAGCTCAGAACACCAAGATCTTTCATCTTAAATTTTTGATTGAGAGACTGTTTTAACTTCTCAACACCTGTGATATCATCTCCAATAATAATCATGTCATCAATATAAAGAAGTAAAAGAATCATACCCCGAGCAGTCTTGCGAATGAATAGAGCTGTATCATGTGGACTCAAAGTAAAACTAAACTCACTCACAGTAGCACTAAACTTTGCATACCAGGCTCGAGGGGATTGTTTCAACCTGTATAATGCACGTCGTAATTGGGATACCTTGTTTGGAGGATGGTTGAGCCCAGAAGGTGGTTTCATATAAACTTCTTCTTCTAGATCACCATTAAGAAAAGCATTTTTCACATTCATCTGAAACGATTTCCATCTCCGTATAGCAGCAATAGCAAGCAAACTGCGCACCGATGTGAGACGAGCAACTGGAGCAAATGTTTCCTCATAGTCTATTTTCCACACTCCTATGTAAAACCCTTGGCAACCAAGCGTGCCTTATAATGCTCCACAGAACCATCAAATCGTGTTTTGATCTTGTACACCCATTTATAGCCTATTAGAGACTTTTCAATAGGTAGATCAACTAAATCCCATGTATGAGTGTTCTCAAGAGCTTATAATTCATCTTGCATAGCTTGTTGCCAAAGAGGGTTAGCAGAGGCCTCTCGATATGATTAAGGCTCATGTAAAGAAGTAACAACAGGAAAACAATGATAATTGCAAAGGTAGCTAGGAAGGTTTCATAACCGAGTAGGATGACTCGAGGATGGGACAACAAACTCATTTGGAGATTCAACAATATCAAATGCAATATCAACAGGTGATATAGATGAGGAAGTAGAAGAAGGTTCAAAATTATCTAATGCATTACCAGCAAGTTACCAGCAGGTAGATCATCTTATGTAGAACCAGTTGGAGCATGTGGTGAGGCATTGTAAAGCTCATCAGATGTACCTGCATCAGAAACACTAGGGAATAGCTCAACAAAAGGATTAGTAAAAAATGAAAGTTGATCAAAAGATGACACTTTGAAGTTTGATAACGAGGAAAGCGCAGTGTGCTCCCAAAAGACAACATGACGTGAGACTCGAAGTTTTTGTGACATAGGATCCCAACGACGATATCCTTTATGTGTAATCCCATAACCCAAAAAACAACACAATCTAGCTTTAGGCTTTAGCTTGTTATGTTCATGAGGTGGAAGAAGAACAAAACAAGCACAACCAAAATCCTTAAGAAGATCATAAGTAAGAGGAATACCATGTAAACATTCATAGGAAGACTTATTGTTGATCACTGAGGATGAAATCCGATTAATGAGATAAACAGTTGTAAGAGTAGCATCACCCTAAAATCGCTCTGGACAAGAAGATGAAATGGGCAAAGCACGAATAGAATCAAGGATATGTCTGTGTTTGCGTTTAGCTCATCCATTTTGTTCAGAAGTGTAAAGACAAGATTGTTGTGCTAGTGTACCCTGTTCTTTGAGAAAAGATTGAAGTTTAGTACTAAGATATTCAATGGCATTATCAGTTCTCAAAACTTTGATAATTTTAGAGAACTGCGTTTTGACCATGGTAGCAAAATCAATATACATTTGTGGTAATTCAGAGCAATTTTTCATAAGATATATTTAAATAAAACGAGTATGATCATCAATAAATAACATGAAGTACCTACAAGCCCCCATGGTAGGTGTAGGAGATGGACCCCAAACATTAGAATGCATGAGATCAAAAGGAGTAGTAAAATGAGAATGACTACTCAAAAAAGATAAAGCTGGTTGCTTTGCAGATTGACATGACACACAATATAAAGATTCATTCGGAATTGATCCTAATAAACCAATAGAGATAAGTGGATGAAGTTTACTGACTGAGGTATGTCCGAGCCGTGAATGCCACAAATGGAGAGGAGAAACATTAGTAGCAACAAAGGCTTGCAAATTTTGTTGGTATGGAATTTGTAAAGACTCTAATTCAACAACACAAAGCAAGGTTTGGATGAATCAATCATTTGGAAATGATGGTGTATCCATTTTATTATCAAGAATATGCAGATAGTCGAGCTCAAACAAATGCCCTACCTTGCGACTAGTTCCAAGAAGTTGTCTTGTCCATGGGTCTTGCACAGGACAACCATGAGTAGAAAATGTTACTTCAAGACCAAGATCACATAACTGACTAATAGATAGAAGATTATAACTAAGTTTTAGAACTAAGAGGGCATTTGGTAAAGTCAATGACTTTGTAGAAATATTGCCAATGTGACTAACATTCATAGGGGAACCATCAGCAGAATAAATAACAGGAAAGGAATTATTTGGTGACATTGAAGAGAAATGAGCAGTAATTGAAGACATATGATTATAACAACCAGAATCAAAATACTAATGTTTGGTACCTAGATTAGTAGATGAGGCAGTAAGAGCATTAAAAAGATTTAATATCACCTATTTTAGGGATTCAAGGTTGACATTAGGTTGGTTTATCATTTCTTTGACAACCATAGCAGTAGTAGGATGAGTTACAGTTCTTTCAAAACTCGTCATAGAATCAGTGAAACTCATAATATTGAAAAAACTTTAAAAAAATATGAAGAAAAAGAGATGCCAAGATCGAAATAATAAGCCAACAAAATACCTCAGAAAGGGCTAGTAAATCGAGGATAAACAATCCAATCTGTAGAAGAAGAGATTCCAACAATAGAGTTTCAGATTTGGAATGGAATTGAAAATCCAACTCCAAAAACCAAACAACGATGATAAGAGAAAAAAAACCAAGAGCTTACAGTTCTGATACCATGTTAGAAACTGAAAAGAAGAAGAATAATTTGAAAAAAGGTTTATTGTTTTCTTGAATAATACAGTATGTACAATGACTTATATATAGGTGTTTACAAAGAAAATTATATATAGGTGTTTACAAAGAGAATATTTTAAGATATAAAGTATTAAAAAAATATTTTAAGGTATAAAATATTTACAATAAGTGCCTTCACATCTTAACATGCCTAAGAGGACCGAGAGAATGAGATCGAATGGCTTGATTTTGCTTTTTTTTGCTTGGATTTGGATTGAGAGGGTTCAACGGAGATTCACCTGATTTCAGTACCTTGATAAATACTTTTCTGTCAATTTTTTCTTGATTGAACCACCCATTGGAAAGCGGTAGTTTCTTCTTCCAGCAGCGTCCAGTGCCATTGTTCCGCTCTGGTGGCTGCAGTATGGCTACTGCACAGAGGCAGTCAACAATGCAGGACCTACGGCATTCTATCTCATTTACAGACTGCAAGAGTTCGTAGTCAGCAAAGGGCCAATCTACAAATTGCATTGTATTGAACTCAAAACGATCCTCCCCAATAGTAGAGCCTTCCTCGTTACAGTCTTCTGGCTTGCTCTGGTAGTTGGGCCTGCATCCAAAAATTGGATTCTTAGCATTCAGTACAGAAAAGCCGTCTGGGCACCGACATGTCGCCCTCCCATCGTGGTTAGGTTGACAGATGCTGTTGTACCCACAAGGCCCACTTCCCCTTGGATCTGGATTCACAAAGCTGGAGCAGATATCCTCAGGTATATACCACGAGGATGCCCAGGGTGCATCTCCATAGGAGGTCTTGGAGTAAGAATACAGGGTGAAAACTCCATCAAAACCAAGTGTTGCCCTGTAGTATGAGTCCTGTTTTGGGACTGTATTGTTTGGCGCAAGTTCGACGAGACTTCCACTTGATTTCCTGATCAGGATATATCCAGATTCGTTGAAGATCAGACTGGAACCATCTGTGATGTTCAAGTAAAACTGGAAAGGTTTTCCGGTGACGACATCTATTTGATTAAGGACTAGATATCCGGAGGTGAAACGGAGCTGAAATCTTCCCTTCTTGTAGCTTGTTCTGGAGATGGCTGATGAAAGGATGCTGTCTACTCCTAGTTCTTGTCCTGGCAAGATTGTGTCCGTTGGATTTTGGAAGCTCTCCCATATGTTGTCTGAATTCATACCTGTGATGACAAAGTTTCCGGTGTCCAGCATGGCTGCATGGGATACCCCTCCAGTGCCATTTTGGGTGCTGTTAGACCGCCAAAGCTCCATGCCAGAAGGAGCTCTGAGCACTAGGCCATTGGAGGTAAGCTCAACATTGGATTTTATCTCTACAGGGTTGTCTCCATTTGCAGACCAAACTATGGTTTTATTGGGTATCTGGGCAAACCAGATAGCAAGGAGGAATCGATCTTGTTGGTCTGGAACACGGCAAAACCCAAATTCAAAATCACCGGATGGTGATTGCCATGTAAGGTTTTGATCATCGGCATGGAGAACATCGCCCACGCTGACATTGCGGAAACCTTGTTGAGCTGCTGCAAGAAGGAAGAAACTAGTTAGGAGGATGAGCAGCGGATTCCGAACAGCAGCTAGAGATGATGTCATGGTATCAGATGAACTTTGCATGAGAAGTGATTGTAAATCCTAAATCCCTAGAGAAAATTTGGAAGTTTCGTGATTGTCTGAGGTATTTGGAGAAGCTAATCTGCCCTGTTTCAACACGGTAATCGCTTTGGCTGCTTGAGAGCCACACGACTTTGAGTCTTCCAGACAGGACCGGAAAACTGCCACACGATTTTGAGTCTTACGGACAGGACCGGAGAGTAAAGAAAGACGAGCTTTCGTACAACAGTCCAAAACTGTCTCTACCCCTGAAAATGTCTTGCGAAGGTCGTTAAAGGAATCATTAATGATTTTTGAGCCAGAAGCTTCATGTGCTTTTGGTCTGGTTGGTTTCCGTCAGGCTCACCCCAATCCAAATTCTTCCTTCCCATCAACTATCACAAAATTAATTAATTAATTAATGGCAGGGATGTGCATCAGAAAGGGATACATCCATTATTTATAAATATTTTATTTATTTAAATATGAATTATATTTAAATAATAAAAAATTAAGTGAGTGAAGTAATAAATATAAAAATTTAAAATTGTTTATTTAATTTGTTTAATTAAATTATTTAATTAATATGTAAGTTATATTTATGTAATTAAAATTTTATTTAGAGCATTGCTAGTGGCACTTGCCGATTGCACTCTCCAACCAACACTCTCACTTTTATTGGCCACGTTAAAGAGGTTGCCTTTCATAGCCTCGAGCAAGTTCACGTGGCCTAATAAAAAGGCATGTGTTGGCTGGTGAGTGTTGGAGGTGGGTGCCCATTGCATTACTCTTTTATTTATATTTATTGTACTTTATATTTATATAATAATAATTTTTAAAAATAAAAATAATAAAATATAAAAATAAATTGTAAACCAAGAAAATACATATGCAATAATAATAACTTAAATAAATAATAAATTTTAAACTAAATACATGATATATAAAGTAATAATAACTAATGGAAGATTTTTTCACCTAAATTAAATACATAAATATATACTCACAAATTACCTAACACTTATTAAATTAAATATCAAATATAAAGCTTTAAATATTTATATAAGTACTAAATTTAAAAATTATATTTAAAAATTTTCAAATCATGCATTCAAATATAATTTATACATGATTTATACAAAAATGAAAAAAAAGTATATTTTAGTCTGAATTCTTAAGATAAATTAAAATTTTAACTTTAAATTATTTTATTTTATTTAATTAAAAATTAAAATTTTTAATTTTTAAATAAAAATTAAGATTTTAAAATTTTAAAATTAACTAATATGCACTGAATTATCAGAAAACATGCTCCAAGAGATGTAATTCAATGATTAAAAACTTGAGATTTCAAGTTGGAGATCTCAAGTTCAAACCTTGAGTCGGGTAAGAAAAGAATAAAAAAAAAATTATCTCTTATTATATAACTCATTAAAAAATATAAAAGAAGAATTATCTAAAAAACATAATCACCCTATTCATTATTGGGTTCCAATTTCCAGTCTTCCAAGTTTCAATTTCAAATATTAAGTGAGACAAGCGAACAAGACAAGACAACTTGATTTGCACTGAATTCTCCGAAAACATAGTCTCCCTTCAATATTGGGTTTCAATTTCCAGTCTTCCAAGTTTCAAATATCAAATATTAATTACACTTGGCCTTCGGGTTTAATGGTAATTGTCACAATAAAAAGTGCATTTTCCTTTTTGGGCGGATTCGATCCGTCCCATGACCAATTGTTAAAAAAAAAAAAAAAATCAAATATTAGGTGAGACAAGACGACAAGACGACAAGGCCAGACAACTTGATTTTATCGAACGCAAAGCAGCAAGGCAAGAAAGATAAGCTTCCTTGCATATTCAAATTTCAAAGACTTTCTCCCTCTTAAATAAGTTAATTTTTTATAAATATTTTTATTATATTACGAGAAAAGAAGAAAATAATTCTTAAAAAAATTAAATATCAAATTTAAAATAGAATTTTTACTAAAAAAAATAATTAACCACTCAATTTAAACACTGTGTAACCAAATTTAAGAGACTTTCAAAATTTTAAAGCTTGGTCAAATAAATTTTTACTACTTGATTTTACACTAATGCTTACCATTATTACATTATAAGCTCTAGAGTTTCAATTTGTTAAGATTATCTTTTAATGGACTTTGATTGATTATTTTGCAAAAAAGAATTTATTTAAAAAATACTTTAACAAAAGTTTCAGCTAAGAAAAATAAATGTCACCTAATCCTCTCCATCCCTCTCTTGGCTTTGCTTGAAGAATGGAATAAGATGGTAATTATAACTTAAGAGCAAGCTTAGAATACAAAGTTGTATAGAATTGGAGAAGATAAAAACAATGTGATTGAATTGAATTAGATAAAATTAGACTATTTAATAGTTCTGTCATATGCCTGATGTGTGAGAGGATTAAATATAAAAAATATATTTATTAATAAAAATACCTTTATGGTGTAATTTAATACTAACAATTTTATTTTTCTCAAACTTTTTGTGAATTTGAAAATTTTTTACTGTTGATGAAAGATACAATTAATAATTAATTTATTTTATACTTATTTAAATAGAAATCTACTTTATTACTGTTAATATTACTTCATTATTGTTGTTTTGATTTATTAAGAAAATGAAATTAACTTCATTAATTAGTTGAGCTTTTTCAATTTTGTCCACTCCATGATGCAAAGAAGAGGGATTCCATTATTTGATGTGATTATAGTACATGCACTTTATGGTGGCTAGAATTCAACAACTCTTGCGTAGTTATAGTTCAGGTGCAAATCAGTGGGGATTAAGAATATTTTGATGACTTGAATAGAGGGATTGGATGGTGGAGTGAAAGGACAAAGGAGGACGGTGGAAAGGGTGATGGATTGTAATCACTGTGGAAGTAGGAAGATAGGTAGTGACTTCAGCGATGAAAGAAGGAGAAGAATCGAGAGGGAGATGAAGGGAGATGAGGGGTGAGCTATGATCGGAGTCGGTGAACCTATGAAAGCTGATGCACAACACCAGCAAAGACAAAAACTCATTGTAGAGATAGAAAGCCACCAATGACTTAAGAGATGAGGAGTTAGGTTGAGGGGTAAAAATAGAAAATCAAATCTTAAAGGAAAGGTGGGATATATTTTACATTATCCACTTAAAATGAAATAAAAAATTGAAATAAAAATTATCCAAACTCTCTCAAACCTTAGCTCCAATCCAACCATTTGTCCAGCACTCCAAACGTGCTATAAAAGATTTTGACTTTTGTGTGACGTTAACATATCATCATGTTGCAGTATCTGAAGCCCCCCTAAAGGACAAGGCAGGAGTGAAAACCCCAGATACCCATTTTAGGTATTGAGATTGGAATTTTTTATGACTAATTGCAATAAATGGACTCTGCAGCTCTGCAATTTCTGCATAAAACTAAAACTAAGATTAATTCAATATACTGACTATATAGAACTAAGATTTTGGCTTTTTATTTTCAAAAAAAAAAAAAAAAGATTTTGGCTTTTTAACGGTAAATTAGAATATGATTATTTTGTTTATTGTGAATTTATTTTAAACTAGACAGCGTTCTTATTTTAAGAATCAAGGGTACTGAAAATTTCAAGCTGCAGCTAGCAATTAATGCACTTAGCAGGACGACTATTAGTATTTTCTATCGTGCCCGAAGAAAACAGGGTCCCGGTCAACTCCTTTGCACAGTGTTTTTCTAATACCTTTTGATGAGCTAAATTTATATACATATTAATGTAAAATTATTGTCTTGATATTATTAATATTTGAATGAATTTTATAAGGTTTTACATGATTTTCATTCTTTGTGCAGAAAATGACTTGAATGCATAATAATAAGAGTTTTTGGGATTAATTGAACATCTTCTCAAAGTTGAGGGACTGAATCGCAAGAAGAAGGGCACCTCTTCGGGACCTTAATGAGTGAATCTTGAGTTTTGGGATCTAAGTGCTCATTGTACAAAAGTTGGAGGACAAATCTATCATTTTATCATTAAAAAAATTGCAAAAAGAGATCAGAAACTCGACACGAGTGTTGTGTCGATCAGTGTTATCAATTTCGTTTCGTACCGGTCGATATGGCGGTACGTATCGATTTTTTACATTAACCAAAACGATACATAATGCAATTTCATTTCGGTTAAAATCCAGATATTTCGGTCAAAATCCAATGTACCGGTTGAAATTTTGATGTACCGGCCGGTACATCAAAATTTCGGCCGATGTACACTGTCCAAAATTTTTTTTCAAAAAAAAATCCTCCCCTTTTCCGGTGGCTACTGAACCCCTTCTTTGATTTGCTTCGTCTTCTCCCCTTTTCTGGTGGCTGTTAAACTGGCCGGTACATCAAAATTCGGGCCGGTGTACACTGTCCAAATTAAAAAAAAAAAAGAAAAAAGGATCCTTCCCTTTTCCAGTGGCTACCGAACCCCTTGCTTTGGTCTGCTTCGTCTTCTCCCCTTTTCTGGTGGCTGTCGAACCCTTCTGCTTTGGTGATTACTGGTGATAAAGGTGGAGGCTGTGATGATGATGAGATGCAAGAAGATTGTCAAGATCAGAGTCCCAAAGGGGGCTTGTGGCTAGATCTGCTTTGTCTGCTCTGGTTTCTTCTTTTTTTTTTTTTTTTTTTTTTATGGCTGCTTGGTGATTGGTGAGGGTGAGGGTGATGGCGATGAAAGTGATGCTCAGCAAGGGGATGGTGAAGATCCGAGGTGAAAGAACAGAGGTGATGGTGGCGATGGTGGATCTGCAGAAGGGAGAAAAATCAAGTTTTTTTTTTTCTGTTTTCT